CGGGACCGCGGCCGCTATCTCCCCCACCCCTCCCAGAGGCTGGCTTCCGGGGCGGCCAGGAAGTGGGGGGCGGTGATAGGCGGCGGGCTGGCCAATCGGCTCTTCGGAGACCCCCGCGTCTCCGCCCTGCGCCTGCCGGACCCGCCAGTCCTGCCCCAGGAGCGCAGCCTGCGGGGCCGCTGCTCGGCTTCCTGCGGGGATCCGGGTTCCGGGGTTCAGCTCCCGGGCCCGGGTTCGAGCCCGGCTCCTCCGCACATTCCCTTGACCCTTCACTTGTTCTTGCTTTCTGCCTTTCGCTTTAAGTCCAGGATTGTGCTTAGTCCTTGTAACTCCTACACTTCTTAAACAACCCTCTTCCTGTCCCCCATTCACTCAGGAACGTTTATCCAGCACCTAATACACCGCAACAATCAAGTTCACCTCTTTCCCTTCTGCCCAGGACTGCACATCTTTCCTTACCTGGCTGTCCAGCTTCCTTTCTGCCCATTGGACCTTGGTGTCCCTTCGGGCCAGTCCCCATCGCCAAGTAGCCCGACACCCTTCCCCACCCACCCACCCACCTTTGGCCACTGACGATAAAGGGGTGCTCTGGACCTCTCCTGGTCTATATATCCATCTTACCCAAACTGACGCAGCCGACCCACCCAGTCCCTCAACACAGAACCCGGGTGCCAGGTGTGGTGGGGCATGCGTCTAATACCAGCACTCAAGAGGCAGAGGCAGGACAATTTCTGAGTTCGAGTTCAAGGTGGGGCTCTGTTTTAGAGTCTGGATGCATCCGATGGGATTTGGGCATCCTGGGGGGGCGGGGTTATAAGTGGGGAAGTGTCAGATGAGTGATGTATGTGTCTTAATTTTGTAGCTGTGTGTCCCAATCACCAAGACCTGCTCTCCTCTTCATCACTCCCTCTTACTCCGTGTTGGCCCTGACACCATCTAAGCCTCTAGGACTCCTGAGTCCTCCCCTTCCAAACCCTCCATCAACCCCCACCCCAACTTCTCACCTTTTCTTTATTCCCGAGCCACACTGGCCCTTTTAACAAAGTGTTGGCTGCACAGTCCTTAGCCTATGTGTCTGTTTCTTGCCCCTTGGATATACTTCGCCCCCGCATGACTTTACACGCCCTGGAGAAGAGGCTGTGGAGAGCACTTGGTAGTGGGAGGACTGTTACTTAATTCTGTGCCCTGAGCGGCACAGTCAGGCTCCCTGGGTACTTGGAGGCCCAAGTACCAGCCATCAGCACGGCGGGGCAGATGACAAGGCAGGGACCGGCCCTATTCCATCCCGCTGGGGTCACCCACGGGGGCGAACGCCCACTCGCAAAGGGGTGGAACTAGACCAGCGTTTCAGAGTCGGGGTATCACATGATAATGGGGGGGCGGGGTCTTGGACTCAGTTCTGCGTGGACAATCACCTAGAGGGGCTGAGTCTTCCCGCCAAGGGGAGCTGGGTTAACACCCGCGCCGCACACCATCCACTCGTCGGGTCAACCCCACTTCTGCTCCCCGCTTCACTAGGAGGGAGGAGCGGACCCGAGTTCTGCCCTCTACGTCACCCAGGGAGGCCGGAGCCATCTTGAGCCCTGCGACCCGGCTATCGTGGCCCTCTTCGCCCTGCTCGGCACCGTCTTTTCCCGGCCAATCAGCGGCGAAGTAAACGGCCCAATCAAGCCAATAGAGTCCCCCACCGGGAGACCCGGATGAGGCCGAGCCCAGGCGGTGAAACTCGACGCCCCGCCAATGGGGGAGCAGTTACTATGGCGACGAGTTAGCGATGCAGGGTCCGGCTCTGCCGGCCCGCCGCGCACTACGCATGCGCGTCGCCCCTAGCCACCATTTTCCCCGATGGCGTTCCAGCCAATCACGCACTTTGGAACGATCCGCTCTAACGTCCAATAGGAACCCGGACATTCTTCAGAAGAGGAAGTGCAGGAAAGAAAGGGGCTCATAGTGGGAGCTGCTGGGCTTTGGGTATGATCGACAGCTGCTCAGACGAATGACACCCTGCGTGGCGGGGGCCACAACACGGGCCTAAGGCGTTCGTGCCAATCTCTTGGCACGGCCTAGGAGGCCGCCATTGCACCAGCCAACCACCATCGTGCAGGGGCGGGCCCCGCAGCCTGTGTGATTGGCAGGTACCTCGACCAATAGTCACGAGAGAACCTTGACGCCTGCCCAACAATTGTAGGCAGGAGGCGGACCTCGTTTGTTGGGGTGTGAGAGAGTGTGTGTGTGTGTGTGTGTGTATATGTATGTGTGTGTGTGTGTGTGTGTCTGGGGGGGTATCTAGGTATTGTGGGGGCGAAACACAACCGGCCATGGCAGCAGCCGAGGAAGAGGACGGGGGCCCCGACGGGCCAAACCGGGAGCGGGGCGGGGCGGGCGCGACCTTCGAATGCAATATATGTCTGGAGACGGCTCGCGAAGCTGTGGTCAGCGTGTGTGGCCACCTGTATTGGTGAGCATTTGAGTCGGGGGATGGCGGTCGGGCTCTCACCTTTGTGCTGGGGAGGGCTGAGGGGGCTGTTCAGGTACCCGGACGACTCTTAAGACACGTCCCCACCCCCATCCCGTCCATCCCCCCCTTTCCATTATCCCCCCATCCCCCGCCCCCAGCAGGTGAGGCCCGAGGCGGGGACATGCATCTTGGATGGTGTATGTGGGCGGGTGGACCACGTATGTGCAGATGGGACCTCTGGGAAGGAGGGTCTTAGGGACCGAGAGGTGGGGTGGGGGGTGTGTTATAAAGGGAAATGGGGGGACATGGCACATGTGAACAGGTGAGGCCTGAGCCACTGCACCCCGTTAGATCTACTGAGCTGTCAAGGTTGAAATGAATGAGTCTTGAAGGTTAGGGGAGGTGTACATCAGCAGGGTTGGGAAAGACCTAGGGGCTGTAGGCCCAGTGGTGGTTGGGGCTGGGGGTGGGATGGCAAACCTGGTGGGGAGAGAGGCAGGGAGCATTGTGGAGGGGCAGGATGGAGAACTAAAGAGTCATGGAGACAGGGACTTTAATGAGCCTGAAGTGAGAGGAGAGAGAACAAGATGAGTGTGCGCACACGCGTGCGTGTGTGGACATGGAACTGGAGGAGAGGGTTGTGTGTGCTGAAAGAACGCTGGTGGAGGGTTCAGAATAGAAGTACAGCAGGTAGTACCTGGAAAGACTGGCTGACGGGGCTGCTGTTTGGGGGGGTGGTCTGTGGTTCTTTTCTGTAGTTTGACCCGTTTTCTCTTCTTCCATCCAGCTGGCCCTGTCTTCATCAGGTAGGTACTCATGAGGTGAAACAGGAGATGGGGGGGAGGCCTGAGGAGTGCCAAGACCCTCTGCATACTTGAGACCACCTCATATTTTCTCCTCAGTGGCTGGAGATGCGACCAGATCGGCAAGAATGCCCCGTTTGTAAAGCTGGCATCAGCAGAGAGAAGGTTGTCCCTCTTTATGGGCGAGGGAGCCAGAAGCCCCAGGATCCCAGGTGAGGGTCTGGAGGTGGTTCTGAGGGAGGGCTGAAGGCCTCTGTCCCCAAAGAAGATGTGGAAGAGCAGTGCAGACTCCCTGTTAATCACCTCTCTCCTCCTTCTCAGATTGAAAACTCCACCCCGCCCCCAGGGCCAACGGCCAGCTCCAGAGAGCAGAGGGGTGAGTCTCCTGGTCCAGCTGTGTCCGTCTCTTGCCAAAGACACGCCTGTTCCCTGACTGTTCCTGCCTCCCTAGGGCTTTCAGCCGTTTGGTGACACTGGAGGCTTCCACTTCTCGTTTGGTGTTGGTGCTTTTCCCTTTGGCTTTTTCACCACCGTCTTCAATGCCCATGAGCCTTTCCGCAGGGGTGCAGGTAAGAGTCTTTCCTTAGCACCCATCAGGGCTACCACTCAGTAACCCCCAGCCTCCTGCTGGCTCTGCAAGCCTGCTTCCACAGCTTTTCCTTCTCTTACAGATGTGGATCTGGGACAGGGTCACCCGGCCTCCAGCTGGCAAGATTCTCTCTTCTTGTTTCTTGCCATCTTCTTCTTTTTCTGGCTGCTCAGTATTTGAGCTGTGTCTCCTTCCTGCCCACCCCCAGCCAGAGGACAATCAGTATTGGGGGACCCCCCCCTTCTGTGACCCCTCCTTTTCTCTTGGCTAAGGCCAATCCTGGCCACCCTTGAGGAGGGCGTGGAGAGGAGATGTGACAGGTGTGCTTAGGACAGGAATGCCTGCTGCTCTGTACTGCTGGCTCAGGAGCACTGTAACTCCCAGCCCTGGAGGACGAGGACAGACGTAAGACAGATGTACTATTGTCCTTTCTCCCCATCTTTTGCTTTCCCCCAGATTTGTTGATTTCATGTTGAAAGGTGGGCTAGGTTCCCTCTGACTCTCCCTTACTCCTCTTGTTGATTTAATTTAATTCATCTCCCCCCAGTGTCTAATAGGAGTTCTGATTCTAAATGTCACTTCACCCATCTTTCACCACCTCCTTTATTACAAGTTCAATAATAATAAAAGAAGATGAAATGTATTACTGGGAAGTCGTCCTCAAGCCCCTCCCTTCCCTCCTTCCAGGACAGGTGGGGGAGGCATGGCGTGCACCCCGTTCCTGCAGGAGTTGAGGTTGTTCTCTCTCACACACACACATAGACAACAAGTGTGGGCAATGTGTCAAGTGTTTACTCAGCATGGTTTATGGGGGGCTCTGGTTGTGGAAGAAGGTGTTGAGGTCGAACAGGGATTGTACAGGGAGCTAGTCTGGGGCCAGCATAGTTCAAGGGACAAAGGCAAGGGAGCTGGCAGATGGGGTCTGCTCCGTTCTCTCAAGGCCCTCCTGCACCATTGTCTGCTGCCTCAGGTTCCTCTGACTGATTCAGCTCAGCACGTTCTTCCTCATCCTCCTGGTTCTCTGTGGAAGAAGGTGTTGAGGTCGAACAGGGATTGTACAGGGAGCTAGTCTGGGGCCAGCATAGTTCAAGGGACAAAGGCAAGGGAGCTGGCAGATGGGGTCTGCTCCGTTCTCTCAAGGCCCTCCTGCACCATTGTCTGCTGCCTCAGGTTCCTCTGACTGATTCAGCTCAGCACGTTCTTCCTCATCCTCCTGGTTCTCTGGGGTCTTCCTGAG